GACCATGTATATATGACAGCTCCTACTCTGTCTGCTGACCCAGTGGACATGAAGCAGACCTTGACTAGTATAAAGTTAATCAGGTTCCCACAGATTAAATCTGTGACTCGGGTGCCCATCAGACTTGACTTAATGAGCTAGCTGGTGTTTTATGCAGACTGCAGGAAGCCCTCTCTTGCTCCTTTCCTGCTAGGACCCTAAAGGAGCTCATATTGCCTATTGCTATTGAATTTTGTTTTGTTCTGAGGCATGGTCTCAGGTAGCCCACACTGGCCTTCTGCTCCCTACGAAGCTGATGAGGACCTTAACTTCTGATCACCCTGCCCTCACCTCCTGAGTGCATGGGTTCCTGTCACTACACCTGTTCATGTCATGCTAGGAACTGAACCTAGGACTTTCCTGAGGCAAGCACTCAGTCAACTCAGGCTCCATCCTCAAACCATGAAGTTGAGTTTTTAACAAGATAGCTGGAGATCTGTTTTCTCCAAACAGGCTCCAACATAAGGGCCAGGAAGGCTTGTCATCTGGGACTCTAGAATAAACCCAGTTTTTATAGTACAGTCACAGTAAGTTTGTTCATCCAGAGTAGCTGTTCGTACATGGTTCAGCATGATCTACAGCGGTGCTGTCAGTGATTGGAGCCCTGGTCATGTTGTATTTCATGTCAGCACTTAATCACCGCTGATTGGAACCATTAGCTTTCTCAAGCCCAACCTAAAAAGTCTGTCTTACAGTTTGGTTTTTGCTGTAGTCAAGCCATATACCATCACTTTAAATTAAAATACTTTGCTATTATTTTCTTCTTTTAAAACATTTTATGAGAAGTTAGAAATTAAACTAAGGAAGCTTTGCTTCGAGTCTCTGCTTAGGAAATACTTTGTGAATAAATATCCTTGAGATATTTAAGCTGTTAAAGAAAATACTATAAAATTTTTAAGCTTGGTCCCCAGCACCCGCAGGTATGTTGTGACAATGGTGTTCCCACACTTCTTTGTGAGTCTGTACACACACACACAACACACACACACACACAACACACACACACACACACACACACACACACACACAGAGTGGGTGCTAAGCTCTCTATTGTGCTAGGATCCATGGAATTTCCGAAACTTCCTGATTTCTTGAGTTGATGACTACTGCTGGGATTTATTGTATCTTTCCCTGAGTTCCTGCAGTAGAATAATTTCTCTCTCAGGTACATCTGCACATCAGAGAGCCTTGGTTCCAGTATTTTGGGATCCCTTGGTTGTTCTGCCTCTCTCAGAACTCAGGCTCACAGGCAAATGTTCCGTCGGTGCTTCTCCACTGCCATGACACCAGAATATTCCCTCTCTGTCTCTCTCTGTCTCTCTGTCTCTCTCTTTCCTCTCCTCTCCTCTCCCCTCCTCTCCCTCTCCCTCTCCTCTCCTCTCCTCTCCTCTCCTCTCCTCTCCTCTCCTCTCCTCTCCTCTCCTCTCCTCTCCTCTCCTCTCCTCTCCTCTCCTCCTCCCCTCCCCTCCCCTCTCCTCTCCTGTCCCTCTCCCTCTCCTCTCCTCTCCCCTCTCCCTCCCCTCCCTCTCCTCTCCCTCTCCTCTCCCTCCCCTCCTCTCCCTCTCCTCTCCCTGCCCTCCCCCTCCCCCTCCCCTCCCTCCTCTCCCTCCCCTCCCCTCCCGTCCTCTCCTCTCCTCTCCTAATTTTCCATGCTGTGACTGCTTCATGGTGGGGGTAAAGCTATATCCAACACAGAGGTAACAAAACGGATTGATGGAGCCTGACTGGCAACCGGTCTCCTGTAGATTGAAAGGTGACAAGGGTCAAACCCCACTTTTTCTGTTTTGTTCTGTTTTGCTGGGTAAGTGCTGAGGGCACTGTTCCTGTGTTTGGGTGACATCTGAGCAGCAGCAGGTTCCGTCCAAGCTTCTCTGCCCTTAGAAAAGCCACAACTCTTCTCTCTTCAGGAAAGGGGCTACTCCTGCCCTGTTCTCTACCTCTGGTTCCCTTGTCCCCACATCCCTCAGCTTTAGGAATTCTGCAAAATGATGAAATATTCCTGTTGCCTTCTTCCTCCAGACACTTAAGGCTTTCAGCCCTCCTCAGTTGGCCACTATTCTTTGGCTGCTCTGTTTTCCAGAGTTTAGTTACACCACCTCCTCTGTGAACTCTTTCCCCCTTCCAGTCTCTGGTGGCACTAAAAATGTGGTTACTTTGCTGTACCAGTCATATTTCAGCGCATTTTCCTCACGACATGTAACGGTCATCTTCACTGGCACCGCTCTCTAGCTTCTCCAACTACAGCCAGACTGCCTCACATTGCCCACGAGAGTTAGTAAAATGTGTGTAACATGAAGAGAATTGGAAGGGATGGAGGGATGGCTCAGTGGTTAAGAGCATTGCCTGCTCTTCCGGAGGACCGGGGTTCGATCCTGGCACCCACATGACAGTTCACAACTGTCTATAACTGTAGTCCCATGGTATCCAATGGCCTATATACATGCAGACAAAACACCCAGATGCGTGTATGTATGTATGTATGTATAAATAAATAAATGATGGATAAATCTTTAAAAAGAAAAGACTTGGTACCGGAGTAGTATAGCATCAACTATATAGCCTTGCATGGTGAGACGTCATCTAGTTATATCTAAGAATAAGCAAGAAAATGGTTCCTCCAATAATTTCATCAACAAATTGTGGACTTTATGAGTGATGATCGAATGTTAACACTGTCATTTCTGTTATCTACTGTGTCTGATGTCTAATGGGCTAGTATTGGTTACAGGACGTTGAGCTTTCATTGAGGTGGGTTCTGCAGATAACTTCCCCTCTCGAGATTTATATACACATAGGATTCGATCCCTTGCATACAACCCCACTCCTTGTTGTATTTAGTTACTTAGTTATTTTTGTCTTACTCTGAATTTTCTGGGAAATATGTGGGGTTGGGTAAGATCATTTCACAAGCCTACCTGGAATCCTACATAACAGACTTCCTCTATTTTGAATATTGTACTGAGCCAAAAAAAGAGATTTGTCTATAGAAATGAATAAAGCACAATTTTTCCTGTATTTCTGGTTCTGTGATTTCTACCTCCATGCAGTATGTATTCTTAAAGAAATTGAATTTATCTATTTGCTTAGAAAAATCATTCTGTAACTGCCTTACAGTTTTGTTTTCTTAACATTTAGGAAGGAATAAAGTCAGAGAACATGAATTTTCTCCACCAAGTTGTTTAGGTTCCGTTGACATTTTAATGTGGGTTGAATTTGAACTTCAGTGCCACACACATTTCTACAGCTGACTTCTGGCTTCTCACTGGTATACCACATTTCCCACCACAAGATTTACCATTGCCACATGTTGACATGAACCTGATGGCGAAACTGAATTTCATCTCCTGGGCTGATTCTGTGAGGTCACGGGGACCCACAGTATTGGTAGTGTATCTCTAAAGGATAGATAGCAAAGGACAGCTGATAGCAGTAAGGGGAACACCGTGTGATGTGAATGTTTTTAACCCAGTTATTATTGAACTTACTATGATCCTTCTCTTCTCCTCCCTCCTCTCCCCTTATCCCCCTGCTTTCCAGTGTCAATAAAAGTTAGGAGAAAACAGAAAAAGGGAGTTAAATGACAAAATGTCTGTGACCACAGGGATCTAATTGAAAATGTAGTATTTTCCTTGAGCAGGGTTCCTGTGAACACAGTTTGCTGTTTTCCCATTCCCTCCCGCTCCCCCCACCTTCCCCTCACTCCACCCCCACTTCCTTGGCTCCTCCCATGGGGCGCCAAGTCTTTCCCATCGCCACTTTGAGGCAGGACCCTGTGTCTAAGCTGAGCAAAGCATCTCTCCATAGGAAAACGAGTATTTTCCCATTCTTAATGGATATATGCTTTCCCATATTGTTCTCCACTCTCCTTTCTTGACTTGAGCTCAACACCCTCATAGCTGCTTCTCCTGTCTTGTAGGCGTGATTGCTGACTGTCCAGTCCTGTCTTTTTTTGTCTGTTTTGTTTTTTGCCTTTTGGCTTTTTGTTTGTTTGTATTTGCCATGTGCTGGGCCATCTCCCACAACCCTCCCCACCACTGTTCTAAAGGCTTACCCAGCCCAGCTCAGCCCCGCCCGCACATGCTCTTCACCCCACTTCTGCCTAGTCCAGCTCCACACATGAGCCTCACCCGCTTCACACAGCTTCTGCTGGCTCGAAATCAGCTCCTTATGCAAGCAGAGCATGTACTTCACCAACTGAGTCCTCTCCCCAGCCCTCACTGCATTTTTTTAGTTCATAAAATCATAGGATATTTATGGAAGATTCTAAAGTACAATGAATTAAAAACTTATATTCCTAACACATAGCCTTTCATATAAATGCAGAATAGTGTTTAAATACTGTGTTAGTATTGCCAACAGGACATGAAATCACCTAGGAGACCAACTTTCAGGCACACTTGTGAGGCTTACTGTACTTAGGTAAGTCTCTGTCCGTACCTGTATGAGATGTTCTTAATTGGATTTACTGAGGTGACCAAACCCATCCTAACCTAGGGCAGCAGTATGCCCTAAGCTTGAGTCCCATAATGCATGAAAAGGAGAACCAAGCTAAGATCAGGCACTCAGCACTCATCTCTCTCCGCTCCCTGACTTTGGATGCAGTATGACCACTGCTTCAAGTACTACCTTGATTTCCCTACCCTGAAGGTCTGTACCCTGGAACTGTGAGCCTTGGTAACCTCTCTGCTTCCTGCGGTGCTTCTGTTGCCGGGTACTGGCCTCCATTTCCAACCATAGTGAGATGTTCTTCTTAATAACATGTTTGTTAGTGACTGTAGCAGGTAGTCTGAGGCTTCCCAAAGTGTCTTGGTGTTTGGGTGGCTGATTTCAGACCCGCAGTGCTCATCTTTGCTAGGATTTTAGGGGCTTTGTTTTTGTTCTAATCAAAGTGACTTTGACCTACTGCCCAGCAGTCTAATCAACCCGTGACTGATGTTCTCTGTTCATTGTGTCCCTCTTAGGTGCTGTGGTCCTTAGAATTGGGTCACTGGATTTCTGAGGAGCCTTTTGAACTCTCTGAGTCCTTCCCTGCTGCTCCGGTAAGTGAGCACTATCTGGTGGTGGTAAACGCAATATAGTTTTCTTGGGAAACTGTTGCAAGCATAAACTCCATGTCTTAGGTTAAGAGTGGTCTCACTCAGACTAAAAGGATGTCTCCCTAGAAATAAATGCCTTCTATTCATTGACTTGTGGGATCACATGTGAAAACTTGAGGAAGGACACTTATAAAGTGCAATGAGAATTGTCGCCTTGAGAAGTTTTGTTTAACCTAGGCAATCCAGCATTCAAGAAACTAAACTGAGTGGATTGCTGCAAGTTTGATGCTGACCTGAGCTATAGGGTGAGACCTTTTCTCAAAAAAAAATTATGAAAGCCTGTAGAGGACTGTAGAAAACAGAAATATTAACAAGAAAAGACAACTCTTCAAAGTAATGCTAATACAGATAAAATTGATAGGTATAAAAATCATGGCCTGGCAACATTGTGATGTGGTTTTTATATTTTGATGTTTGTCCTAATCTATACCTTTAAGGACTCTTAAGTAGTTTTTTTCTTTTTCTTTTTTCTTTTTTTTAATTTAGAAACAATCATTTTATATATCAAGACTTAAGTATTTTAAATATTTGCTGAGTGAATTCTGACTTTTCAGATAATTAACGTTTGCCTGGAAACAGGGTTATGCAGAAGTTGGCTTTCATTTCCAAACATGTTGTCTGGTTTGGGACAGTTTATTGTTTGAAAAGATGAGTCTCTGAAAGGCAGTGGCCGTTCTGGCTGTTCCTGGTGCTCTTACGTAGCTGTCCAAGTGGCCCTGTGCCGGGGACCCAGCAGGAAGCTGAACTCTGCCCCCTAATCGCTCAGTCATCTAGCTCGCTGCATTGTTTTGTTTTCATTTTTAAGATTACTGTTTTGATTTTCTTTCAACTTTGTAAATGTTTTCTTAAGAACAGAAAAAAAAATTCTTCCCAGTAAGTTTGTTTGTTTAAAATACTGTGTAAGGAGCTGAAGTATAAAGTGAAGACCTGAATTCCTCCCATTCCGTGACCTAAGAGAGTGTGTAATTCTGAGTCGCACAGAAGGTTTGCCTTTGAAATTCATCTTCCTGATCATGAGAGACTGCCTGATAGAAATGAAACCCTGATGTCGGTTTCCTGGGCGATCGTTCTCCTACCTCAGTCCCTGTCATTGTGGTCGGTCAAGAAACTTAATGCTTTTTGAAGCTGAGGGATGTTTTTGGTGTCAGATGTTCTAACTGGGTACAAAGCCACATGGGCGCATCAATGTTCCCTAATGTAATAATAGAAACAGCTATCAGAAAGCAGGGACCAAGTTTTTACTCTGGAGTTAGTTGGTAGAAAGAGAAGCATGGCAGAAGAGAAGGGTGCCTTAGCCACCCGAGTCTGCGGATTGGCCAGAGCACAGAGCAGTGTGTGACGGTTTCTGACACCAAGACTGTGTGCAAGAAAATGGGTCAGAGCAGTAGTTCTCAACCTGTGGGTCACTACCCCTTGGGATATCATATCAGATATTTCCATTACAGGTCATAACTGTAGCAAAATTACAGTTATGAAGTATCAACAAAATACTTTCAAGTTGGGGTGTCATCACCAAAATATAAGGAACTGCATTAGGAAGGTTGAGAACCACTGCTTTAGATAAATAAACAAAACAAAATCAACATCTGGATTCAAAGAAGGGCAGATGGACAGGTAAGGAAGGCTACATGAGAAATTGCGTCAAACGGCACTGTACAGGTGTTCATTAGAACAGGAGGAACTAGGGTTTAACAGCCCCAAGCATAAAGCTGTGTTCTGAAACTTCTTCTGGAAGCATCCGGTGATACTATAAGCAGGACATTTTTTACTTTACATTCTAAAACACTTGATCAGTTTCCTAGTGAAGATAAAAATGTTACTAAGGCCAATTATTTTTTCCTTAAAATAATTCAGAGAATTACTGCTTTGTAGATGTCATAAGTGGGATGGTTTTCCTCAACCACAAATCAAGTTTTAGTTCATTTTCTATAACATGTCTTACTCTACTAGGGAACATCTCTTAGAAAAAAGCTACTGTCTCAATGGTGAAGTCTCTTCATCACGAATCAGTGTTTTCTTCATTAAAAACAACCTTCCTTGTCATGAGACACAGGGGATTTTTTGTATGTGACTAAAAAACAAAATTGTAGATGTTACCATAAAAAATTAAACATAGTCACCTCAACTAATAAGTTATATTTAATTACTAAAAATACCTTCATATTTAACAGCCAGGCAGAAAACAAAATAGTACAGTCTCCACATACGCCAACGTGGCACCCGCCTGGTGGTAATTCCAGAGATGTGGGTATTTCCACCATACAGGAAATAGTATCCAGCCATTAAAAGACTAAGCCGTCAAGATAAGTAAATGTGTTGTTTTCAAATGAAACTGTAAAGCACCTAAGAGGAAAGCAATGCACTGTGCTTCTCCAGATAGTAACCTGTAACCACCACTTAGACTCCTCGCTGCTGTCATGAGGGACACAGTCTTGTCATCGTGACGGCTGTGCTGCATATTTCTACACTCTATAAACCGGGCTTAGGGGACTGTGCTTCCAAGATTATCTTCTCTAAGTGTTCTGATTTCCAGTTATTGACTGATGAACTCTGAAGTAACGCTGTCCCTTGTGGCAGAGTCTGCATGCTGTCCCTCTGATTCTCAGCGCAGTGTCACCTTCCCACAGGTGTTTCTCCAGACCACAGTGCCTTTGGGTTTCCTTGGGATGGTTACTGGTGCAGGCTTAAGTGATGTGCTTCTGTCTGGCACACAGAGCTCCTCCCCGTCTCCCCAGGAGCACCTCCTCATGGGGAAAGAGGTTGCTGCTGTGCATTGGTGTCTCTCAGTGCTTTTGGTTAATCTTTGGACACAGCAGGATCTTCTGGTAGCATAGGAGGCATTTAGAAATCTGCTGGCCGGATCATCATGGTTGTGGCCTTGAGCGAGTAGCCGGACCCCTTCCAGTAGTACCACTTGATCCCGTTGAACTTATTTGTATTCTGCTTTTGTGGGTAGTACTGTCCATTCAAGTTGGAAGGACCGCAGGCATCAAACCACCAGCCTGTGAAAGTGAAACACAGAGGGAGTTAGGAGCGGGTGGTGGCATCGGGGCGCACCTGTGTCAGCGGGGTTTGGGAGGGGTCAGGCATGCACGTCAGTTTCCAGCTTCAAAGGAGGTGTGCGCACACCCTCATGGTGTGGGGAAGAGCCACATTGGTTTGCTCCACCCCGGGCACACACTTCACACCTGTGCAGTCACAGTGCCGTCATGGCATGCGCTCTCGCACACTTTCTAATTCCTTTTGTGCAGAGTCCTTGCAACACGGAGAAATGTGGGTTGGTACTGCGTGAAAAGCCTGCCATGCGTAGGTACATGTGTGTGTAGAAGTCATGACAGCAGGGCGGGCCAGATGATTCCCACCCACCTCTTCAGATTGTTCTGGCTGGAACAGAAGCCGTGTGCCTAGTGCTCCATGGAGCTGGGGGAAAAGAAACTTTAAGGCCATAAGGTGGAACGCTAAGGGAGAGTTAGGCAGTAGCAAGGACCTTCCTTGTGGTAGCTGTGGGTCCCACAAACAGGAGCATGGAGGGTGGTAAGATTTGCCATATGAAGCAATAACGTGGATGATGTTCTGATCTGAATTTGTCTCTAAGCCTCATGTGGGGAAGACCGATTATGTAAGGTTGTATGATAGCATTTATGCTTGTTTTTCTATACAGAAAAACAATAACAAGAGTTGTTAGTAAAGAATGTGGATCAAATACCAATTCAGAGGCTACCACCTCAGGGCAGGTGGGACGTTGTAGGGTAGCTTCTCTGAAAACACAAATTTTTTTCCCCATGGAATGCAGCCATCTCCCTGGACACTGCTGCCTGGAGACCCTCTTTGGCTGGTGATGATGATAAATGGGGGTGTATAGGAAGATCCTGTGTTGTGCAACACTTTGGGACACGGAGAAGTGTCAGAAGAAACAGCTCTGCCTTAACCTCCATCCAGGCACCTTCCATGTTTGTCGCTGCTCCTGCACACATCTCGCTCCTCCATAAGTCAGCTTCCCCATGGGCCCACCCATGGCTTGGAACATGGCCTCTTTCAGCCCAGACCTCCCCAGCCCTTCCCTGGCTGCCTGCCTCCTCCCCAGTCTCTCCCAACTCCATTCTCAGCCCCTAAATCTTGAACTAGGTAAATAAATAGATTGTGTCCTTGGTTATGAAGCAGCTCTCCCGCTCTCTGGAGTAGCAGCACATGGGTGGTCTGGAAACAGCCAGCCCCTACGGAGAGGTCTTAGTGTGGGAATGGCGGGCAAGACTTGGGGTTAGGTGTGTTGCAGCCCCAGAACCCACCCCCATTGTCATTTGATTTTAAAGAAGATTGTCACAGTGAGATGAGAGAGTCTAGCCCCCTTTACAGAATCTTTCCTTTGAATAATTACTACTAATGGGGGCAACTCATGCCACCAAGTGGCCACTCTGTTCTCCCAAGAACTCCAGTGTCTGCTCTATAGTGGGTTCTACATCCGTGAAATTTCAAGTTCTGAATTTCAGTTTTGTCAATAAATCCAGTTAGTACTGTTGATGCAAGGATTCTTGACAGAGGCGTACATGTTGTGGTTCAAGCTTAACTCTCTTACTTGTCTTAGTAGTAACTTATATTTCTATTTAATTAAATTTAATTTATTTACGGTGGGCTCATGCCGCAGCACAGGTGTGGAGATCAGAGACCAGCTTGGGCGAATCAGTTCTCACCTTCCACGGGAAGGGACCCAGGAATCAAACTCAGGTTGTCAGGCTCGGCATCAAGCACATTTACCCACAGAGCCGTCTCCCGGGCCTGAGCTAGGGTCCCTTACCAAGCCGGGAACTCTTGGATTCAGCTAGACTGACAGGCAAGCAAGCCCCAACACTGGGATTGCCGGAGCACATCGTGTACTTAGCTTTTCCAGGGGTCCTGGAGACCTGAGCGCCTGTCTTCCTGTTTATGTGTCAGGCCCCTTGCCCACC